TGGTGCTCACTGGCCACTGATCCATCTAAGTGGCTTGTTACTAAGGGACAGCCCTCTCACTCTAGTCCGCCTGTCAATAGAGAGGAAGCTCCTGAGACATCCCACTGTGAGGGGTTATACAACGGGACACTTCACACACACACGCACGCACACATGCACGCACGCATGCACACGCGTGCACACACGCGCGCGGTTTCTGCCGCTCAAGGAGCAGTCCCACGAAGAGGCACGCTGGGCGCCCCACACGTCTGAGTGGGAACAGCTCGGTGCCTTTCATCCTCCCCTGCTTCCTCCTGCTCTACAATTATGCCTTTCTCCACTGGGGAACTGAAGCATCCACAGTCACATGTTCAGTACCAGTGTCATGGGAAAAGGGAGCACTATGGCCTCCGGCAAGGGGCCTTTGTACCTACAACGGTGACCTGAACCCACTCTTTCTCCAGAGACACATCAGAGAAGAAGCCCGTCACAACTGGCTTCCTACCCTCAACGGTGCCATACCCAAACATCAAGGTATCAGCTTAAAAAGCTCTTGCCATTATGTTGTATCACATAAAACATAAACTAAATTTTGTTATAAATTCTTTGGAGCAATAAATTGTCCTACCCACTGCCACTAATTAAATAAGCCTCTAGGCTAAGCTTGCTCTAGAGCAGGGCAAACTTCTTCTGTAAGGGGCCCAATGGTAAGTATCTTGGGCTGTGTGGGTTACAGAAGCTCTGTCACGACTGCTCAGTTCTGCCACTGTAGCACAAAAGCAGCCCTGGCCACCATGTAAACAAACAGGCTGTGCACCATACCACCTTACGACAGCAGGTGGCGAGCAGATTTGGCCCACAGGCTACAACTTGCGGACCTCTCCTCTAGACGAATGAAAATGCCGAACACAGTTGTCCAGTAGCTCCTCCCAACACCAGGGCCCCTGACATTCCAGTCCTTTCATGAAAACCACAGCCATAGGGACCACACAGAGGCATTCAGGTTTGTAAACTCACATTCATAAAGAACAAAGCCCTGTGTGAAAGCTGTGAGCTAGAAATCCCACCTCTCACAT